TTTGCAACGTGTTCCTGTGGACTATTTCCTTCCTTTGGACTTGAGTTTTGCTGTTTGTGTTTTGGACTTATTGACAGGTTTGTCACCCAAATAAAAGGGATTTTGTTTTGTTTTAAAGTCTCCAGCCTATTGTATCAGCAGGGGTTTGGTCCTTGTGCCTCTAACAAGGACGGCAATAGGCTGGGATAGAACAGGTATTTATATTGATAGCAGCATCCCATGGCCACATAATCACCATTTGTGACCCTTATAGCCAGCCTGCGGTAAGCAGAGTGGGAGAAGCTGGCAGGAACTTGCAAGTTATAGTTAGGTGATGCTGCGCTTTAATGATCCATATGTGATTTACTTAACAACCACAGCTGGAACTGTCAAACTGCCATCATAAAGTGAGCATGGTCATGTGATTTTTCACTTTACGATGGCGGATCCCAGTTATGTTGAGTAAGCGAGGACTGCCTGTATGAGCAAGAAATTGAGGATTTTAATTAAAACATTGGGAAAGGATATTTTTTTTATTTTACTGAAACATAGGAAGATGTGAGTGCAATTCTTTAAAGCTTCTTTTACTTTCACAGTGAATCTTTCTCCAGTGCGTAAACTGTGAATGAACATGCAAACAACAAAGTAATATAATCATAAGATACCAATAATAGAAGATTATAGGAAAGATGAGAGGATTCATTATATCTTATTATATTCATTATATCTTTCTGTTGTAAATATATCAGAATTAACATTAGTACATTAAAAGTGGAATGGCTGGCCATTAACCACTCCTGGGTGATTTGCATGATTTGTCTCCTTTGGAAAATGAGGAGAAACTCACCTACACAATATAAATAAGCTATGTTCAAAAGCAGTATATCTATGATTTTCAATTTTTGTTTATTTATAGTACGTTGGTTGATAAGCACCTCTGTCTAGATATTTTGCTTATGAACAATTTGTGGATAATTTATGTAGGCATTATGTGAGTTGTTGGTAGTGGGTGATTTGGATTGACACTGTAGAAGTGGCCCTAATCTGCTCTTTTAACCACAATTCATGTGCCACACATAGCAACCATTTTAAAATTTAATCACAGCCTCAAAAGTAACAAATGATATATGATATGCTTTAGGCGGGGTATGGTATTTAAATGAAGGAATCTTCAGTGTGCAAGTGCAAGCTTTAGGTAGGACTAAAAGCAACACCTCCGAATTCTTCAAAAATTACTGGATGCCTAGGATAGAAATGTTCTAGGCCTATATATGTTTAGCTTTATAAAGTAAAGCAGTACTTTCTCATCTTTGTACAGCTATCATGAGGCAAAACATAGCATGCATAGAACTTAACATTTTTGGTAAGTGCTAAATCAGTATACCAAAACTTTTTGTTTCTGTTTTAGGTCAGCCACTAATGATTTCTCAGCCTGCTGTGGTTCATCTTCAGACATCTGGAATCCTTCCTGCCTCAAATCCAGCCATTGCTGTTAATGGTGGAGTAAAACCATTAACAGGTCACACCATTAGGGTATTACCACAAGCTGCAGGAAAGAGTTTGACCGGTGGGAACCTAGCAGAACCTAAGCCTGTCCTTCACGCCTCTTCCTCAAGTACAAACATGGATGTAAGTTCTTTCCAGCTTCTGTTTGTAATTAGCCCTTCCACCTGGAAAGCTTGGGGTCCCAAAAATGTTTTAGCCACACGCCACTAGTGACATAATTGACAACATACAATGTCCACAGTGGAATTTCAGCTCCCAACAATTTAAACTTTTCTATAAACTAGCAATCTTCTAGATTTTCTTACTAAAGAGAATATTGGAAAATAAGTTGGACCTGCTAAAGGCTTGGAAATTCAAGTGGTAACATTTCAATTGGTGCTTCTTTGCCCTTTTTATTTCTGGTGGTGGAGATAGTTCCAGGCTTAGACTCTGAGAGTGTTTGTGTGCACCCACATACTTACATGTGGCTGACTATTCAGACAGGAGAAACAGTTTTTGAAATTATGGTATGGCTTTTGGGGTAACAGCCTTTGGAACCCAGAGCCTATACTCAATTGACGGAAAGGGATAGTTGTTGTGTGTCCCTTTACCACGCCTTTGTTTGATATTACATTAGAATAAAAGCAGATCACTCATTTTAAAAAAAATCTGGAGTTCTGTGTACATAAAGCATTGCAGGACATTTGTTTCTGGGCCATGGTGAAGTTACTGGATTGTGGGACAGAGAAATTATTATATTTCTTCTTGAGTCTTGCTGTCTGCTCATCTTCATCATGGGAAACAGCTCCAGAGATCACAGCCTTGAGTCTCTTTCCTGCTGTCTAAGGGCAGGAGTAGCTGGCAATGTATCTCTATTCATTTTTGTGAACTATCAATTGAGTAAAAGGTAAAGGAGTCCCTGCAGATTTTACTCTGCTAATCATTGCTGACTATAGGGGATGGTCCTCATCTTCATTTCAAGGCCATTGAGTCAATGCTGTCTGAAGACATTTGCATGGTCATGTGGCCAGCATGATACAGTATCACAGAGCTCTGTTACCTTCCCACGAAAGTGGTATCTATTCATCTACTTGCATTTGCATGTTTTGGAACTGCTAGATTGGGAGGAGTTAGGGCGAGGATGGGAGTTCACCCCATTGCATGGTGTTTGGGTCTCCAACCTGGGCTGCTGGCTTTCTAGCTGACAAGCCCAGCATCTTAACCGCTGAGCCATTGCACTGCCCTCAGTAACAGTTGAGTAATGCAGTGTAAAGTCATAAAGTTAATTGGACATCTGCCCTCCCGTTTAATACTGTCAGAGTGTTTGGCAAAAATGGAAAAATGATGATGTGATAGAATTGTGTTCATGTTTGTTCTACTTCACACTACTGTTAATTCATTTGCATCCCCAATCCAAGTCCAATAACCGTTGTACCATCCTGACTCCCTTAGGGGAGGAAACTACATGTGAAAGCTGCCAAACAGGACTGCAATGGGCTAGAATTCTTGTTACATTAGTTTTGTGTGTTGGAAGGCCTTTATTTTTGTTATTGTACAGGGAATATTAAATCATATAGTCTGAAGGAATCAGATACCAGTTTGCCACTTTAACAGAAATTAAAGTACTGATCAGCTCTCCTTTGCAGCTTGGCATTTTTTTCAGTGTCAAATGGAGTGCTAATGAAATGCCTTGTCAAACCATCTGGTGAGCATTGGGTCAGTGAGGCTGAAATGAGTATAATCTCTGCTTTATTCCCCCCCCCCACAGCTAAATCAACACTCTGCCTAACACATTATAAATACAAGCAAAATGAATGTAAATTACTCCTGTTAAACTGGGTAAAAACTCACTTCAATACATCAGTGTAGAGACCAAAAAGCTTTCTCAACTAATCCATGCATGAAGCAAACAAATTCCATTTGATCTACCATGTGGCTGGAAGGGGAGCTTTTAGCAGCTGTGTAGAAGAGGAAGAGATGGTAAAATAAATAGGTTTATTAAGTGAATTCAATGAGGCAGGCTGAGCTACTCACCAAGCCTTATCCTTTAATCTTTGTCCATTTCTGGGAGATGCAGGGATTATTCTGGCATCACTACCACCATTTCATTACTCAGAATGGGGAAATACTGAAATAATTGGAGCTGAATTTTATTAGTGTGAGGTGTTGGCTCCTTTTAGGTATTTATTAACAGTGGTCCAATAATAAAAATCTAATTTCTCCCGGTGCTATTGTACAATGGCACATGGATATGAGAAATAGTTCGAAAATAATTTTAAAGATATTTAATTGCTTGATGAGACAAGATTGTAAGTTTGTAATGTAATCTTAAATCTGTAAGTGTATGGAAAGAGTACTGTCAAATACTCTTTACAAGTAGTCCTCAGCTTATGACCATTCATTTACTATTTGAAGTTATGACAGCACTTTAAAAAGTGATTTACAACTGGTCTTCGCACTTAAGACCGTCACAGCATCTCTATGGTCATGTGGTCAAAATTCAGGAGCTTGGCAACCAGCATGTATTTACAATAGTTTTAGCATCCTGGTGTCACATGATTGCTATTTGCTATCTTCCCAGCTGGCTTCTGACAAGCAAAATCAATGGGAGAAGTCACTTTTTCACTTAACAGCTTGTGATTCCCTTAATGATCACGGTGATTAGCTTAGCAAAAAAAGGTCATACAATTGGATGCAACTCGCTTAATTATTGCTTTACTTCTCAATGGACATTCTGGTTGCAATTGTGGTCATAAACCGAGGACAACCTGACTATAGAATATCAGATTTAGAAAAAAAATTACCGTATTTATTGGCGTATAACACGCACAGGCGTATAACACGCACCTTCATTTTAAGGGAAATTTCAGGAAAA